TTTGACATCTATCGATTATCTAATTTTTTAGCTGCAAAAGGATGGAACTTGAATGTCCTACAGTTCCCACCAAGGTGAGTGTGGAGACCAGGGAGTGATGTATTTAGCAAGATGCTCAACTTCAGGCCACGTAGCTCTCGTGATTTGCTGAGTACTGTTGTCCATAGCTGATAAATTGTATGTAGAATTTTCCTCCACAGAGCAGGAATCACTTTCATAATTGCCATTATACAGCAGTGAAGATAAAGTAATAGTAAATTTAATGAGCCTGGCAGAGGACTTTCTCTTAGCTCTATCTAATACAAACAGAAAAATGTAAATAACTAAGACTCTATCTCATGTTTAGTTAACTGAGGGCTTATAGATTGATTTATTGATTTTTACTGTCTTCCTTCTGCCTGCTGAAGATGAAGGAAATCAAAACAACAGTGAATGGCTGATCATTTTCCATGTAAAATTAATCTTTGTCAGAGACTTTCCTTAAGTAGGAAATTGGCCTTTTGTGGGCAGAAGGGGCCAGTGCTCCCAGATGCAACTGCACTGCACTGAAAAGAATTGTGAGTGGCCATGGGAAGTGAAGTCCAGGGAGCCTGAGGTGGTAGCTCAGAGATGGGTGCTTCCTTGTGGTGATGGCTGCGAAGCTGCAGAGGAGGGAGAGGGAGATGATGGCAGGGGTCCCCATGCTTGCAGGCAGCTGCGTTTTTCTCACCAGAGATACCTGGAATGAGGTGAGAACCTTTAACCTAATTGTGAAGTCAGGAAGGAAGGAAGGCAGAAGGAGCTGGTTCTAGCAAGCGTTTTGCAGGGATTGCCCTTAGTGGGAGTGCTGTTTCAAGGAGATGCACAGTTCTCAGTGGCCACAGAAGGGCTCAGGAAGCACGGAGCTGTGTGTGCTGGAGGTGGTTAATGTCTGCCCTCTGCCTGCCTGCCAGCATCCATCTCTGCATCACGCAGCTGCACACCAAGCCCGGCGTGGCCGAGCAGTTCCTGAAGGACGTCAGGGACAGCATCCAGGACATCATGAAGGACCTCAGCGCCAAGACCACGGGCATGGTGAGGAGCCAGCACACGGTGGGGAGGGGGTGTTTGGTGTTTCTCCTGTGTAACAGCCTCTCTCCTCTGCTCAGGGAGCCATCTATGGAATGGCGCAGTCCGTCCCAGACAGGAGCCTGGTGGCAGAGATTTCCCAGGCCTACCTGGATGGCCTCTACAGCACGGATGTTCTGAGCACTGAGAAGCACATGAACGGCTCTCCCAGCCACCACTGACTGTAGTGCAACGATCTGTGCCTTGCCAGCCAGCACTGGGGTAGTTCCAAAGGTTTCCTAGGGAAAGAGATTGCAGTTCCTTTGTTCCTACAATTGCAGGTCTGAGGGTGGCTTGATCTGGAAGAATTCCTTCCCTGTCTTAGTCTCTTCTGAAATCTGCATTGTTTTCATGCCCAATTTCAGTTTTAGGGCTTTTCCTCCCTCCCCCCTGCCTGTTTTCATCATGGCTGTTGATGGTGAATTGAATGTCCATTCCACAGCTCCGAATTCCTCAGGTATTCTGCGTGTCACTTCATTCCGTGTTATTTCTCCTCCTCAGACCTGGTGTTCAGCCAGTGTCCAGCCAAGTGTTAAATTTGAGTTCTCACATTGTGTTCCATGGCTCCAGTCTTCCTGGAAGCTAATGGCAGACAGTAAATTGGAAATTTTGTTTTCTCTTGAGTATTGCTGTAAGCTGCTGCATTTAACAGACCGTGCTGGGAGCCTTATACCTGTGTAATGCAGAGCTGATAAATTGGCAGAGGAAGGTAGTCATGGCCTCCCTTTGAAATCTGAGTGAGACTGCAATCAATATCTGCCGAGGGGGAGAAAAAAACAACACAAACTCCTTTCCTGGAATCTCTTGAACAACAGCAGAAGTAGAAACCAAGCAGGTGGTGCAGGGAGAGGAACTGGAAGGTACTGAAACCCCCGGGTGCATCGTGGCTGTTCTGCTCCCCTGCCTCTCGTAGAAGACATGCATTGACCACCCAGGAGTGCTGTTTTCCCTTGCACAAATCTGGAGGGAGGTGCAAAGCTCAGTTCACTGTTCAGAACCTGAAGGTTTTACACTGTCCCCTCAGGATGCTGTGGCAGGGCCCTGGCCCCTGTCACAGCCAGGGACGTCGTGCGCAGACGATTTTTTAACCACGGTCTTTTAGTATCAAAAAGGTGACTTTTGTAATAGCAGTAATCTCAGCTCTTTGCACTGATTCTTTTAAGGCACATTCTCAAAAGGGCATTCACCATTGTGCCTTGATGCTTCTCTGGCTTTTTTTTTGTGGCAGGCCAGGGAGGGTTGGAGGGTTCAGCTGTTTGACCATGACCTTGGTTCTGGTCGTTTCTTTATGGTACTAATTCTGAAAACAAACCTCAAAGGCAGGCTGGCCTCAGAGGAAAAAACACCCTTGCCTGTTAGGTAGTAGTTGTAATGAGCCAGTCCCTTCACAGTATTACAGAGATGCTGGGAGAAGCAGAGGAAAGGATGCAGCAAGTCAGAGCTGTTCCAGCCTTGGGCATGGCTCAGCCTTCCTATTTTTCCCCGCTGTTTTTAGCGTGAGAGAGTTTTCCTAGCGCAGCCTTGTGGCCTCAAGGACAAGCCAGAATCTCTCAAGTAGCCTTGGAGTTACTCCTGCAGGGCTTTCCCATGTTTCCTCTCAGCTTTTTGCATGGAGCAGAGTTTCCCAGGCAGAATCCCACATGTGGGTGAAGACGTCATGCCGTGTCTGCACAGTCCTGTGTAGGGCACCTGAAGGCATCTCTCTGCTCCAGCCTGCTAGCCTGAAGCACAGGAATTGTAAGGAATGAGAAGGTCACTGACCAGCTCCTGCACAAACCAGCCCAGCCACTGTGGGAAGGATCTTGGCTTTCCAACAGCTTTATTCCCTGTGCTAGGAGACACAAGCATGTTGGCCATTTGCCCTGAGCTTGATGACTTCATGCAAGTCTCTGAGCCCTTTTGAAATCATTGAATTGCCTGAGAGTCTCTTGATGGTGATATCAGCTCTGGTAGTTTGTACTGGACCTATTTATTCTCTCGAGGTCTTGCCAATGTGACCATTACTGTATCTCTGAGTTTGGAGACAGTCTTCAGTGTCTGGCTGCTGTGATGGTTCTCTTTGGAACCGAGATTTAATGAAACAAAACAAAAAAAAAAAAAAAAGGGAGGTACTCTTTTTGTTTCTGCTTTAAAAGAAAGAAGGGGTGGATTGGGGTGGGCTGAAGGAGAGCAAAACTCCCTTCTCTTCCTTCCCTGGTTGCATTTTCCTCCCAGGAAGTAGGTGGATCTAACAGATCAGTGCTCCATTTCACACTTTTGGATGTATTTGAAGATGTTATTTGTAAGTCAATGTACTCTATTCTGGGCTTTGCTTATTAATAATATTTGTGGGTTTAATTGTTCCATGTGTATTTGTCCTGTACTGTAAATGTAATCCTGTGGTCGGGAGTAGGCCACTGTAATTCCCTGGTGTGTAGTTTTTATTCATCCTTGTCACCTAACATGTAATCTGCATCTACTTTATCATGCCAAATGGTCCTGGAAAAACAGATTTACAGGCTGTATGATTGTTTTAAAGACAAAAAAGGAGAAGAATTTGATGAACTGGATTATGATCTGAAACTGGACGGTACTTTTAGACCTGGAGGGATCCTTGCCAGTGTTAATTCCTGCGGGATTTCCTGGTTTTCCAAGCAGGACACTCAATTTGTGGCTTGTACAAAGCATTCCCAAGGGATTCACCTGTTCTTAGGTACTAGAATGAAGAATTATCCAATGGGATGGACCAAGAAGAGATGTGTGTCTTCATGCCATGGATTTCATCTGCACTTTTCTGATGACTTGGGGGAGAGGGGAGCGGAAGGGTTGCGTACAACACAATAATACCTTGCCCAATAAATCCACGAGGACTTTTTAATGGACAAATGGGATGAGTTGATCTGATGGCCGTTTTCTGCTTTGCTCTGATTTGCCGCTGGTCGAACTGGAGGCTGAAATGGCTGGAGAGATGGTGAAAATGGGCCTGGTTTGTATTAAAATGGTGCATTTAGCTGTCTAGGCTCACTGAGCTCTTATTTTTCTGCTTCAGTGCAGTGCTTGTTTGAATGAATGTGGACCTGTTGTTCCTGGAATTTGCTCATGCACAGCCTGGTCTGTGGCAGGGAGGATGGTTTATGAATCTCACTAACTGCCTGAGGGCTGCTCTGTCCTTCTGTCAAAATGAAGGTGCTGTCCATGTCTGCATCTTGTGTGTGATGTTCAAGGATGCTGGAAGTTAAGAGCTATGGATTTTCTATTAATACTTTGTAGAATTTAAAAGGGTTTAAAAAAGAGAAGAAAAAAGAGATTTGAACTGGGTGTTTGTAGTGCTTTTCCCCAGGCTGTGGTGCTGAAATCAAATGCTGTTGGTTTCACATGAGATCATTGTATCAGTGAAGATCCTGCACCACAACCCCGTTTTTGGGTAGTATTCTACCCTAAGCAGCCCTTGCCCTGGTGCCATGCTGCTCTTGTGCCTTTTGGCTGTCCTTTCCCTGTGTTTGTGCCTTGGCTGTGATTTTACACAAGCAGATTTTACCTGCCCTGGTTTTGATCCTCTCTCAGTCTTTCAGAGCCCAGTCACTCTGAGGTGAAGGCACCTGCCCTTTCTGTGTGAAGGTTTTTTGTGGCAGCATCACCTTGAGAGCAGCCAGGGAAACCTGTTGGTGTCCTTTGGTCAGTGAGGCCTCTTTGCAAAGAGCCACCAGGTTAAACGAGATGTTTATTGTAAACACTTTCAGTTGGTATCCCAGGAAAGGCTGGCTCCAGTGGGGATGAGACCACGTGCCTGGTGTAATACTGCTGGAGAGGGGTTACAGCAATGACAAACTGCACAGCACCTTGCTGCTCGGCTACAGAGAAGCCAAAGGGGTCACAAAATGGGTTTAGGCACATTCTAGGAGGTAAGGAGCAACAACAGGGGCAGGATGGGGGCAGGCTCTGGACAGATTTACTGGTGTAACTTGACTCTGGAAGGACATGGACCTGTTGGAGTGAGTCCAGGATGATCGGGGGGATGGAGCACCTCTGCTGTGAGGAAAAGCTGAGAGAATTGGGATTGTTCAGCCCAGACAAGAGAAGCTTTGGGGTGACCTCACTGCAGCCTTCCAGTGCCTGAAGGAACTGACAAGAAACACAGAGAAGGATTTTCTACAAGAGCAGGCAGTTACAGGACAAGGGGAAATGGATTCACACAGAATAGGTTTAGATGGGATATTGGGAAGAAATTCTTCCCTGTGAGAGTGGGCAGGTGCCCAGGGAAGCTGTGGCTGCCCTGGATCCCTGGCAGTGTCCAAGGCCAGGCTGGATGGGGCTTGGGGCAGCCTGGGATGGTGGAAGGTGTCCCTGCCATGGCAGGGGGTGGCACTGGGTGATCTTTAAGGTCCCTTCCCACCCAAAGCATCCCGTGACTCTGTGATATGACTGACTGCTGGTAAGAGGCTCAGCAGCTGGGGCTGTGGGATCACATGGCTAAGGAAGGGTTTGAGGATGGAACCTGCACGATCAGAGATGGATACATGCACCCTGAGCAGTGCCTCCATCCATCCGAGCTGCGCTGGGGGGGCTGGCAGGGTGTCGGGCTCTCTGGATCCAGGATCTGGCTTGGAAGTGGGAAAAGGCTCTGGGTGCAGGGCACAGTGGCACAGTGGGGTTTTGGCTGGTCAGTGGGACCCCTGGTCAGGAGAGGGAAGCTGCCACCTGCTCGATGAAGCTGGCCAGGTTGATGTCCCGCTCCGACAAACCCCCGCAGTCGTGGGTGCTCAGGGTGATGTGAACCTAGGGCAGACAGACAGACAGACAGGTCCAGAGGTGTTGGCAGAAACAGCAGAGCTGCTCTCCCCAGTGCTGCATCTGATGAGGCAGGAGCTCCACACTTGTTAGCAAAGTCCCTGGGCTGGCACAGGCGCTCTGGCACTTTGCCTGCTTTTCCTCCTTCCTACAGCTCATGCTGGCCACAAGCTGTCACTGCCACCCCTGCCTTGGTCACAGCAGCCACCTGTGCCCACTTCCAACTCACTCTTTTCCCTGGAAGCTTTTCCTGTGGCTGCTACTTGATAGAGATTTTAATAAGCAATGCTGGTGCCAGCCTTTGGCAGCTACTGCTCAGCTGGATGGGATAAAAGGAGCAGGAAAGGATCTGTGGTAGCTGAAGGCTGGCTGTGATATGGGAATAGCATCTGAGGGAAGAGGTCCTGCTGATGAGAACAGCACTTGCTGCTCCTGTTTTGTCCCTCAGAAAAGGGAGCTGCTCCCTGAAGGGCTCTGCTCTGTCCCCACCATCGTGTTCCTTACCTTGTTGTACACATTGAACCACTCGGGATGGTGATCCAGTTTTTCTGCCTGTAGAGCCACTCTGGTCATGAAGCCAAAGGCCTGCAGGGTAAGAAGGAAAGTTAACTCTCAACCATTTACCCTGCAACATATTGGTTTTCACTCCCATTACTAATGATTTTACACTGCCTGTGTCTACGTAACCCAACCAAATGCAAGGCCTGGGCTACTCTGGGGGTTTTCTATTGGTTTTCCTCTTCCTGAGGAGCGTTTCCCAGACAAACTCTGTGCTGAGTTGATCCCTTTGGTGTCCTTGGGAGGGTATTTTGCTCAGCCATTCCATTTCAGGAGAGACACAGAGAGCTTTCTTTGGCAGAGCTTTGCAGAGGGGCCTCTCAGTGTGCAGAGCTCCGTGTCCCTGGTGCTCGTACCCGGTTGAAGTCCTTGAAGTGGAACTCTTTGAAGATGGCATCTCTGCCTTCCACCTCGTTCCACCCCACAGCTCTCAGGTTGGGCAGCAGCTGCTCCCTCTCCTCCGTGCTCAGCCTGTGGGCTTTGCCTGCCTGGAGAGGGAAGAGGAGCAGGTCAGCGTGGCAGCAGTGGGAGGAAGCAGGTGTTGAGAGCAGCGAGGCATCCCATGGGTTGTGGAGTGGGTGGGAGGGTTGGAATATCCATGTCCTCTGCTCCCTGCCTGGAGTACATCCTGCATGTACCAACAGAGTCCAGCTGGTCCCCTCTGTCTTCTCACCTGCACCACCTGCCACGGTGCCTGAGGTGCTAAAAAATGATACCTGTGTGAAGTTAAACCCCAAAATACATATAATCCCCTAGGGAAAAAAGAAAAACAACCAACAACTTAAAAAGCAGAAGATCTTGTGATCATTTCTAGATCTGAGAATTGCTTTAGGGTTCCTGAATAGGAGGGCCTTTCCCCCTCTCTTTCCCCCTCTCTTTCCCCCTCTCTTTCCCATTGGGAGCCTGCTTTTGAGGAGAAAGAAGTGCTGTGGATCAGAGCTGAGCCACGCTAAGCTGCAGTTCAGCTCCTTTCCCCCCTCTCCTTTATGTTACAATGGATTTTAAGAGGCTGTTTCTCCCCGTGAGGAACAAAGGGCAGAGGGAGGGATTGTGGTTGAGCTGTGCCTTGGGCAGAGCTGCTGGTACTTATTTGTAAGGGGTGGTAGTGGGGAAGCAGCAGTTGTTGGCTTTGAGGGGTGTTTATGGGCAGAGATGAAGCTAAAATGAAGCTCTTGGGGATGGGGGCTGCCTGAGCCAGCTCTGCTCTGGCTCAGTGGGGAAGGCAGGAGTGAGTGCAAAGGGGCACTGCTCTCTGAAATGTCATCTTCTGGCAACTGAAATTCTTTCACAGAATCATAGATTGTTCTGAGTTGGAAGGGACCCACAAGGATCATCAAACTCCAGCTCCTGGCCCTGCACAGCACAGCCCCAAGAATCTCACCACGTGCCTGAGAGCATTGTCCCAACACTCCTTGAGCCCTGGCAGGTTTGGGTGAGTTGATCTTTCCAGCTGGTGATGATAAAGAGATCCTTGTAATTTATTCTCCTTTGTGTGCTGTAGAGCCAAGTGTGGCAAGTTGGATATGAGTTTTGACAAATCTGGCCCAGTTTTTTGGTGGGTATTTGATCAGCAGCCCCTTGAGATGCTTTGCCCGGGCATCAATGCTCAGAAATGGCACTGGGCAACTGAGGCAAATCATCCTCTCTTGTGGCTTCCCTGCTCACAGGCTGCACAAACCCAAAGGACCAGCTGTGAAACTGATGTTTTTGTGGGTGGCTCTTGCATGTTTTGGGGAAGACTGGAATGATGACACCCCATTCCTATGGCTGTGTGGGTGCCTGTCTGCATGGAATGGAGAGTGCCAGAGTGTCACTGGTAGTGGGATGCTTCCCATCCCCTGGCATTGCACCTGCAGGATTTTTGGGGAGGGTGCATATTTTGGATGACCCCCTGGCAGCCCTGACTCTGTCACCCCCGTCCCCACCCCCCAAATGTCAATGCTGTGCTGGCAGGGCAGGCAGTGAGCAAACAGGACGGAGCTCAATAAACGCGGAGCCGTTGCCCTTCCCTGCTGATGGGGAGATAAGCCGGGCACAGGTAGCTTAGCAACTGGGTGAGGTGGGGACAGACAGAGGATGGCTCTGAAGGGAGCAGGGCAGGAGATTCCTGCACCAGGATTCGGGACCAGGGGCTGAAACCTCTCCGTATCGGTGCTAAAAGGAGGAAGGGTAAAGCCGGAGTTGCGGCTTGGAGCAGAGGGATGCAGGGTTCCAAACCAGCCCTCCCCGGGCACAGCAGCAAAGGGACGTGGTGTAATTGTTCTTTTTCTCTGTCGTGGCTCTGTGGGAGGATGGCCCCGGGGCTTTTTCCAGCCCAGCTCCTCCCAGCACCAGCGGGAGGCATGGCCAGGCTGAGGTTTGGCACACAGAGCCAACTCCTCTGGCTGTGTCCGAGGGCAAACCCTCTGCTGGAGCACCCTGCTCCAACGCATCCTGCCCTAATCCATCCTTCGCCACACCAGGACATGGGCCAGCCTGCTGGTTTTGTCAGGATGGCATGGTAATGCTTTCATGTGCCCTCACTCCCTAAAAACAGACTCTTCTCATTAGGGAGATGAAATTGCTTTGTTTTCTTCTGCTGGCTCTCAACCGCCAAAAAGTTGGGATTTTAATTTTTGAGTTTTTTTTGCCAGCAGGAAACCAAGTAGATGCATTGTGCAACAGAGGGAAAGGAACCAGCAAGGGAAATTGGGAGAATCTGAACCCTCTTTGCTCTAAAATCTTCCCTTTTAAAGAACCATGGAATGGTTTGGGTGGGAAGGGACCTTAAAGATCATCCAGTTCATGGGCAGGGACACCTTCCACTATCCCCGGTGGCTCCAAGCCTCATCCAACCTGCCCTTGGACCCTCTTTTCTCTAAAATCCTCCCTTTTAAAGAACCATGGAGTGATTTGGATGGGAAGGGACCTTAAAGCCCGTCCAGTTCTACCTCCTGCCATGGGCAGGGACACCTTCCCCTATCCCAGGTGGCTCCAAGCCCTGTCCAACCTGGCCTTGGGCACTTCCAGGATTCCAGGAGCAGCCACAGCTGCTCTGGGCACCCTGTGCCAGGGCCTGCCCACCCTGCCAGAGAACCGGTTTTCCCTAATGAAAAGCAGAATTTCCACCTAGGCAAAGGCACGGGAGGGCAGCCCTGGAATGCTCTATTCGCTGCGGTGGAAAAGCCGATTTCCAGCGGGGCCGGGCGCGTTGTGGGGCCGCGCAGATGGAGCACACGCGGGGGTCGCCCTTGCCCTACAGAATGTGGGGAGGGGGTCATTCCTGGCGGGCCCTTTCCCTCCCCCTCGCAGAGCCTGGAGAGCGAGCGCTGCCTTTGGAAAAGCAGCAGCAGGAGCCGGCGGAGCTGCGCGTTACTGATTAACCACAGCGCCCGCTCCTTCCCCTTCCTCCTGCCGCTCCTCGCACCCTGCGGCTGCCTCCGGCGAGGCGCGGCGAGCGGGCGGCCGGCCCCGCAGCCACTCACCATGGTCCGGGGCGATGTGGTGGCGGTGATGATGACGGTGACGCTGCTGCTCCGTGCCCGCCCGGCGATGGACGCTCCCGCCGTGCCGATCCCGCGCGGCTCCTCGGGGCGGCGGAGGCGTGGCGAGGCCGCCGGACCCACCCCCGGCCGGCCGAGCCTTCCCAGCCCCGGTCACCGGGCACGGCCGGACAGGGGCGCTGGGAGCCCCGCACGCCAAAGCCGCCATGGGCTTGGGCCCCGAGACGCGCACCCCTCTCTGCGGGCCGCTCCCTTGATGTGAAAAATGGGTGTTTTGTGATTGGCTTTTTGCAAATATTCAAAGGAATTATACATGTTATATATATATATATATATATATATATATATATACATATTATATATACACACATATATAAAAATACATATATATATTCATATTATATATACACACATATATATAAAAATACACATATATTCATATTATATATACACACATATATATAAAAATACACATATATTCATATTATATATACACACACATATATATAAATACATATATATACATATTATATATACACACATATATATAAAAATACATATATATACATATTATATATACCCACATATATAAAAATACATATATATACATATTATATATATGTATATACATATATTATATATATACACCTATATATTATATGTATATATATGGGTATACATCTATTATATGTGTATATATATGTATATGCATATATTATATGTGTATATATATATTATATGTATACACATATGTGTTTTGTTTGAAAGTGATGCTGTATTCATTCTCTTAAGTAGTGTGTTAAATACAATTTTAGGATATAACATAATGTTAAAATAGCAGCTATGTATGGGGGATATTTTTTTCAAGAAAGGAATGAGATACTTGCACCAGATAGCAGCCACAGGACACCTGAATCTTTCAGAGAAAGAGAATTTACTGCTCTGTTATCAGAAGAAACGAACTTCTTCCCACCTCGCTCAGCCATGGAGACTCAGTCAGGATTCACAGGAAGAAGCTGACACTGCCCAGACAGAATCCTGTGTTTGAATGGAATTTATGCATCATGGATGAGGTGTATGAATATGCAACAGGCTGTTGCTTTTAAGGGTTAATCCTCTGTTAACGTGGGTCCTTTTTTGGGCTTATTTTGCCCAGAAAAGGCACCTGGACTGTCTGTAACTCTTTGTTCTTATTGTCTGGTATTGTCCTAATCTCAATTGTCCAAATTTTTATCACGCTAATTATATTGCTACTCACTGGCTTGCTGTCCAGGTTAGGCCAGGTTATATCAGCTGAGAGCCCTGCAAATGGAGCAGAAGAAGGAGCAATGCCCCACACAACATTTCCCAGCGCTTTTAAGGCATTTTCTGCCCTTGCCAAGCGAATGGTGTGTTCATGGATGCTGAGTGCTGCTCCCTGGCATTTTCCCTCTCCAGGCCAGATGGATTTGTGCCCATGTCCTGCAGCTCGTTGTCTGCTCAGCCCACGCACATGATGGGCAGTTTTCCAGTGCTGACCAGTTTTTATTGTGCTGCTGTACGTGACAGACAGGAATTCAGCCCCCTGCTATTCCCTCATGGCTTTCTTCACCTCTGAAGCAACTAATTCCAGATTCATTTATTTAATGATATACATCCCTTGTATATACTCTTGTGCACGTTTTGTTTTCTACTGTAAGGGATTGTGGGTTCTGCAGAGATGATTTGTTTTTCCAGCAGGCACGTTAGAGGGAAGCAAATACTTTTTTTTTTTTTTTTTTAATTTTTAAAAATTTTTCCCTCTGTAGATTTGTGTGCGTTCCCTTTCTGCACAGCTTTAATTGCCCCATCTGAAATGAGACCCTTTAGGTTTGTGTTTAATGATTAACTGAGGGGTGTTGGGCAAGGTGTTTGCTCAGAGCAGTTTGCACCCTGTGCAAGGGGCGAACCTGTGTACTGGGAACAGATTTTTGCTCTTTTGCCCCTCTCCTTTTTGTCTTTTTTACAGCTGTGCTGCTTTTGGTGGCAGCTAACCCCACGTGTGTACGGGACTCTGCATATTTGGCGGGGGGGTCTCATATCACTACTGAAATTCTTATTTTGTCAATAACTTTTTAACAAAACATACCTGACCTGAAAGTTGCTTTGCTTGGGAGCAATGTTCTGTCTCCCATCTCAAAATTTGCTTTTAGATGGGATATTGGGAAGAAATTCTTCCCTGTGAGCGTGGGGAGGCCCTGGCACAGGGTGCCGAGAGAAGCTGAGACCCAAAGGGTGTTTTAAACCAGGGTGGGCCAAACTCTTTCATCATCTGCAACCTGAAGCATTGCTCTCATGGCAAAATAGATTTAATTAAAGAGCTTGCTTAGCACTGGAGGGGATTTATGGCCGGTGTGACAGGTTTAAGTTGACAAAAGGGCCCAATAAACAGAAATGAATCATTAATTAATTGTGTGCGAGATTCCCTCTTGTAGCAGTGTTTTATCAAAACCAGTGGGGCTCTCGGAGCAATGATCAAAATAAATTGGAGGCTGGCAGAAACTGGGGCTTTGCTCTGCTCACACTGTGTGTCAGGCTAAGGTCTTTTGTGTCTCAGGCAGAGTACCCTGCATGGAAAATAAGGTGAAAAAACCAGCAATAAAATGGCATCACCACTTCTAATATGTTGAACACAAATCCCAAAGTGGGAGGGGAGGTGCTTTCTGAAATTCCTGCTTTCAGGAATATCAGGGCATATAGGAGTGAGCAGTGTTTCACTGAAGGGAGGTCTTGGTTGGGTATTAGGAAAAGATTTATGCAGAAAGGGTGATGGAGTTCTGGAATGGCCTGCGCAGGGATGTGTTTAACAAAGCCTGGACGTGGCACTGGGTACCAGGGTTTGTCTGAGCTGTTGGGGCTGATCTTGGAGGCCTCTGCCAACCCAACCCAGAGATTCTGTGATTCTGTGACAAATCTGAGTTTTGCTGTGGTTTACAAGTGGCTTTGGATAAACTGCTTAACCGTCCTCAGTCCCCATTCCCTCTGCTAGCTGGGATACTCATTTTAATGGGATGTCTCATGAATTACCTGGTATCTGGGGAGCTCTTAAATCCATGTAACTCACATGTAACCATGGGATGTGATCCTGCTTTTAGATCAGAACAACAATAATTCAGAACTGAGCTCATTTTGTTTTGATTTTCCTAATACTGACTGAATTCAGAGAGACAAGTGACAAATAAATGATTCACCATATTCATGACTGCTTCTCAGGTTTCCCAGAGGAGGATGATGATGCAGACCTGAGTCCAAGGTATGCAGGAGTGCTTTGGATTCTGAGAGGAATGCCAGGAGTGCCATGGATTCTGAGAGGAATGGCAGATTTGTCTTTACAAACAAGCTGTGGGTCTGCTGGTAGATAAAACTAGCACTGCGAGATAAAAGAAACAATGGGAAGGGTTCCACTGATTGATGAATGAAAAAAGATATTTGCTTTTACAAATAAACTTTAGGTTTGCTGATCAGTGAAAATAGACATTGAAAGATGAAAGAAACACTGGGGAAGAAAACTCCCTAAATTCCATAAGAATTGAAATTTAAAGGGAGGGTTGTACATTAGAGGGAAATCTTTGGTATCAGGCATTTTGGGAGTCTGAACCTCTCAAGTGCCTCAGCCAAGGGGGAAAGAGAGAAGGGAAATGTAGCTGGGAAATTGGAATAAAAAGGAGGCTGCATCCTCCAAAAATTTGAGAATAGGAAACTCAGGGTTGGGACAGAATAATTCTGTTTGCATTCTGTGTTTGCTCTTGAAGCCACACACAAGGGCTCTGGCAGGTGATGTACCCGTGTGTCACAGATCTTTTCTGCTTCCCAGGAGCAGACAGGGCTGAGATCACAGAGGTTGTGGCCTTGCCAAGGTCACCCAGGTGCTGCAACAGGATGTGATTGTGCCAGGGAAAGGCAATCCATCCAAACTGCCTGGTTTGCTGATGGGTTAGTCCTGGAGCTCTGTGCTTCCCTGGGCACAGCTGGAGCCTGCCTCAAGGGAAGAAGCTCCTTGTATTCCATCCAGTTTGTTTCCTGACTTTCAGCCCAAATTTCTTTGTTGAACAGGTTGGGTTTTCTGGCAAATTTGCAGGGGTGGCAGAGGGTGAGTGAGTGTGAAAAACACCAATAACTTGTTTTTAAAATTTAAAAAGTTTAATCGTAATAAAATGGTTACAAAAATAACAATATAGAGTAATAAAAATTTGGACAATTTGGATTAGGACAATAGGAGACAAGAAGAACAAAGAGTTACAGACAGCCCGGGTACCTCTTTCTGGGCAAAATAAGCCCAAAAAAGGACCCACTTAACAGAGGATTAACCCTTAAAAGCAACAGCCTGTTGCATATTCATACACCTCATCCATGATGCATAAATTCCATTCAAGCACAGGATTCTGTCTGGGCAGTGTCAGCTTCTTCCTCTGGATCCTGACTGAGTCTTCAGGGCTGAGCGAGGTGGGAAGAACTTGATAATGGAGCAATAAATTCTCTTTCTCTGAAAGATTTGGGTGTCCTATGGCTGTTATCTGGTGCGAGTCCTCTCTTTAAAAAAAGTATCTTACATAGCATAGTTTCTATTTTAACATTATGTTATATCCTAAAACTATATGCAACACACTACTTAAGAGAATGAATACAGCATAACTTTCTAACATAACACATATAATATTCATTTAATATTATATGCGAAAAGCCCAATCATGAAATACACGCATTTTTCACAGTGCGTATCTAGACAGATCTGGAAAGCGTTTTCCCACGTTGAGGAGTTTTGTTCCCTGTTTATTCAGGGAGGGTTCGGCACTGCATGCTAAGCAGCTGCTGTACAGCCACGTCCTGTCACTAGGGGTCAGGAAAATGCTGGAAAACCAAGATGTTCTGAAACAGCACAGGGTGAGTGAGGGCTCTCAGCATCCCACCTGGTCCCAAAAACCAGGACCTGGGCACCCTGCTCTAGCACCTCTCCACTCTCACACAGGAGGATTTCTTCAGAATATGCCCTTGAAATCTCTCCTCTTTCAGTTTAAAACTGCGAAAAACGCCAATCACTTGTTTTTAGAATTTTAAAACTTTAACATTAATAAAATGGTTATAAAAATAGTAATATAATTGGAGTAATAATAATTTGACAATTAAGATTTAGGACAATACCAGACAATAGGAACAAAGAGTTATAGATGTCTGGGTACCTTTTCTGGGCAA